TATATATATATATATAAATGTTTTATCTATATAATGTTTTTTTTAAGTGTAAATATTCCCTTATTTGTCTTTTAGGCTTAAGCATGCTTGTTTGTGTTTTAAAGAATTACTTCTTATCCTTTCTGATCTATTTTTCTTTAACCCTACTTATCTATGGAAATTGTATAAGGAAAAAAAACTTAGCAAACATCTTTAACAAAATACACACCAAATACCTCTATTTTCTCTATTTACATACACTAAAAAGCAGCTCTTTCCACAACATTCAAAATGCTTAACCCATTACTAAGACTGGTACTCACCATTTCATTGGGATGGACCAAAAACAAATAGATTCCTGGATGTTTGTCAAAAACCTGAAAAGAGCAATTGGCTTGTTCCATCCGGCAAAGTGCTTCAACACATAGCTCATCTAAATACAAAAGAAGCAACAAGTCTTATCAACTTACCAAGCCTCCCAAAATCTACCAGTATAAGATTTCCTTGTTCTGTATACATATGAAAAACTTTTTGTTGTTTTTAACTGAGGCATTAAAATGCTGATAGTGTGAATGCAAGAACAACTTTTACCTGCCTAACAAAGTGTATCAGTTAACCATGTGATATTACTATGAAGTATTCAGACTTTACTAAGCTTGTTTATCCATCTTTTACATACCGTAAATACTCGAGTATAAGCTGACCAGAATACCAAGCAAGGCACTTAATTTTACCACAAAAACTGCATTTAAAATGTGCAGGAAGAACTCGGCGTATACAAGAGCATATATGGTAATTATCTCCAAGGGGTAGCCATCTTAGAAGCATGATATAGGAGCAAGAAATGAATTCAGCTTTGCTCCCCAAAATTGCCCTCATCCCATTGAATAATCCCATCTGCTCTCCAGACATGAAATGAAATCATCATCGAACACTAAATTCTCCAAATATATATGGCTTATTTCTGGACTCTATTCTGTTCCACTGGTCTATGGTACCACCATTCTAATTCTTGTTGCTTTGCAGAAAATCCCTCATTACTCTTTTTGAGAAATGTCCTGAAAGATTCATACATTTACCCTAAGTCAATCAACTGAATGAACATGAAAGCAGAGAGCTCAAAATGTTAACAATGTATAGTATATGTGATGGTATTCACTCTACAATTCCTTCAACCTCTATGCTTGTAATAAATGGGGAAAAATAAAATTAATTATCCTATGAGGAAAAAAGGAACTCAAGTAAAAAAATGTTTTTGATTTGATGAAGGCAACATATGTACAAATTTGCTTGATACAACTGATGTATGAATTGTTCTAGGAACTATCAGAGCCCCCAATAAAATGATTAAGATAAATAAATGAACTTAAAAAAAAACCAAATAATAAAAAAATAAAATTAACTACCCTAAATAATGTTTCTAAAAACAAACTCACTGCCATTGAGTCTATCAATGTCAACTCATAGCAACCCTATAATCCAGTATGAGTTTTTGAGACTGTAACTCTATGGAAGTAGAAAGCTCATCTTTTTCCTGAGAAGCGGCCAATGGTTTCAAACTGCTGACCTTGGGGATCACAGCCCAATGCTTAACCACTGTATCACCAGAGTTCCTTAAGTACATTTTGTAATAAAATTTTCAATATAAACTTAAAGACTTAAAATTTTTTAAGTAGTAAAATATAAATTGAAAGGACCCAAGATACTCACTAACATGTTCATGTAGAAGCAGGTAAGGATATTTCAGTATTTCAAGAAGAGGAACTCGAAGCTTATTTTCAAAGTCTTGGCCAGTAAAGTCAAACAAATGTGTTTCTCCATTATTGTCTACTATATATAATTCATCATCATCTCCAATTTCTGCTTTCATGGATTTTTCAAAGTGATTTATGAGACGCAAAGTTTCTAATTCCCATAAGACCTACAGGAAAAGAAAAATAGTATTATATTTTATAATCAACAAAATGTTAAATGACTATACAAAGCTTTGTAAACATAGAAAATTTAAAATACATTATGTAATCACTTATTAGATTTATTTACTAAAAACGCTCACTTAACATGGCTGCTTCTATAAAATTAAATAGTCATAAGATTAAATAGAATATGAAATGTTTTAACACATTTTTGGTAGAAGTATCCTAACATTTCTATCAACTGTATTCAAAAGGAAATGAGAAGTTAGAATTTCTTTGTCAAAAGCATGAATTCGTCCTTCTATGACTTGCCTGTATCTTCTAGCCATAGTACACAGTTAACATGAGTTTATCAGACACACACTGGTTAATATTTCAGTTAGGGAACTTTAAAATGTAAAAATTTTCTCAACACAAATTCATAAAAATCAACCTCTTTCCTTCTATTTTTTTACATATCTCTAAAGACCTGTACTTTTTCATCAGATAATTGTAAGCTAAACATTCAAAGTTATATATTCAAAATTTTCGCCTTGTCTACTATAACAGAAAAATATCCTTGCCCTTAGAAATTTCAGTCTATTTATAGTCATTAAGAAATGAGAACTCTATAGGCAATAGACGAGTTTAGCAAAGTTGCAGGGTATAAAGTCAACAAACAAAATTCAGTTGGGTTTCTATACACCAGCAATAAGAACTCTAAAAGGGAAGTTAGAGAAACAATTCCATTTATAATAGTATCTAAGAGAGTAAATTAATAGGAACAAATCTAAACAGATTTTTAAGAAAAATTTATATAGTGAAAATTATAAGCTTTACTTGAAATAGATTAATGAAGACTGTAATTAAGTGGAAAAATTTTCCATATTAATGGATTGAAATATTTAATATTGTTAACATGTCAATATTATCCAAAGCCATCTACAGATTCAAGAATTCTGATAAAAGGTCTAACACCCTTATTCAGAGAAATAAAAAAAATGAATTCCCCACTTTCTATAGAAAACCAAGAGGCTTGAGTAGCTAAAACAATGTTGAAAGAAAAAACAAAAATAACAGGATTCCCACTTCCTGATTATAAAAAAACACTATTACCACTACAGCAATCAAAGGATCCTGGTACCAATGTAACAACCAACACGATAAATGGAATTCAATTAAGAGGCCAAAAAGAACTCTTATATATATGTCCATTCAATGAGTCAAGAGTCTCTTTAATGAACAGTGCTGGGAAAATTGGATTGCTCATGAAAAGAAAATGAAACAATATTCATGTCTCACATCACATATAAAAAATAAATTCTAAATGGATTAAGGACTTAAATGTGCACACTAAAACCATAAAATTCTCATATG